CTGCAGTAAAATATACTCAGACAAACCACACGTTGTACTGCTCAGAAGTGACACAGACACCAATATCTGCTGGCAAGAAGAATAAACATCCCCTTGAAAAAGCACAGCTGAAACCCCAACCCGTTCACAACCATACGAAATCACCACCTACCAAACATCGGCTCTGACAGAGCATCCAAGTGATGCTAAGAAATAATAAATGCTGGTTTGCCTCCATCTGCTTGAGAGGCACGTGGAACGTTTTGGCCATCCTGACAAACTTGATCTGATAATGGCTTTTGGATGGGTTGTTCTTGGCCCCCCGTGCAGCAGCAGCCACTGCTTTGCAGGCAGCACCATCCTCGGTGACCTCCTCCACACGCCGCGCGTATTTCAGACGTGAAGCTAGATAATAAAACCACACACCGGATATCGGCGCGTGTTAATAAGATGTAATTCGTTCCTGGCAAGCCCCAAACTCAGATTTTTCTTTTCAAAAAAACAAGACACATCAACAAAACCAAAACACACACGCAGGTTCACAGGGCCAGAGTCCAAAAGGAGTTCAGATGGGCAGAGCTGCTTTCATCTGCTCGAGTGATGTTTAATTAAGAACAATATTTGGAAGCAGTGAATTCCCCCAGAACCACAGGTAATAAAATTCAGATTTAAAAAAAATAAAAAAAATCAAAATCCCATTAGGACAGGAGTCAATGAAAGCTCATCATTTGTGCAGTGAGACCATGAGGTTTCTCTGTGTGTTCCCCCAGCTCCCATGTCCTGCTGACCCTGGGATTGTCTCACTTGACTTCAGCACCCCAGCCCACCAGGGGCTTCCTCTCCACGAGAGGAGACGAGCTCCCTGCATCCTTGACTGGTGGCCAGAAACGCAGCAATGCTCCGGGCGCTCCAGGACAGATCCTTCTGATTATCACAAAATGAAATTTTCAGCTCTTGTCATCATCGGCCTCAGATTTGTAATGTTACAAAAACATGATTTCCTTTCCCCATTGTATCAAAACCTCTGCCATTCCCGCTGGTGAAATCAAACCATTTTAAAAGAATTTATATGATGTTAATTTAAACCGAATGCATTCAGCTGCCAATCGCAGTTCCCCGACTCTCCCAGGCCTCCTGCCAGCTCCACTCCATTCCAGAAGGACCATCAATCACAGCCAACAGAGTGATGGAACAGCCCCAGAAACGCAAAAACTGATACTGGTGATTCTGGGGATGGAAACCCTGACCTGACATGAAGTGACCCCACACAAGAGGCTCCGAAAGCTTCAGCTTCCCATCAGTGAAGCAGCTCATATACTTTATGCAGGAATAAAGCCAGAACGTTGCTGGAATTCCAGCATCACTTCCAACTCAGCTTTTGCAGCAGAAAGTGGCAAGCTGAGCTTCCTCCCCAAGCTGCCATGTGGGAATGGGGCACCTGTACTGATGGCAAGCCATAGAGTCCAATATCAGAGATAACTGTTCCCACCAAGGGTGAAGGAACCTCTTCTAATCTGCATCTTGCTCTCAAAACAGCTGGAAACTGGGATTCTGGGGAGAAGGTGCATCCTTCACTGTATCATAGGATCACAGACTGGTCTGCGTGTAAAGGGACCTTAAAGATCATCTAGTTCCAACAACCCTGCATTGCCAGGGTCACTTCCCACTAGATCAGGTTGCTCCAAGCCCCATCCAATTTGGCCTTGAACATTTCCAGGGATGGGGCAGCCACAATTTCCATGGGCAACCTGTTCCAGCGTCTCACTACCCTCACAGCCAAGAATTTCTCTCTCAGATCTCATCTCCATCTCCCGTCTTCCAGCTGGAAACCCTTCCTCCTCATCCCATCTCTCCCTGCCCTTGTCCCAAGTCCCTCCCCAGCTTTCCTGGAGCCCCTTCAGGCACTGGAAGGTGCTCTAAGGTCTCCCTGGAGCCTTCTCTTCTCCAGGCTGAACACCCCAACTCTCCCAGCCTGTCTCCACAGCAGAGCTGCTCCAGCCCTTGGATCATCTTCATGGCCTCATCTGGACTCCCTCCAGGAGCTCCATGCCTTCCTTATGTTGGGTGCTCCAGAACTGGACACAGTGCTCCCAGTTGGGTCTCACAAGAATCTGTACGTGAACTAAAATTTTCTAAACGTTACCCCTTGCCTTGTTTTGCCCCTTCCTTGCAACAGCCCAATTAACATCTACGAGGAAGGAAAAAATCCTTTCAACTGGAGCCTTTGTCTGTTGGTACATTCCAAAGCTGCAGGTGGGATGAACCCATCACAGAGATGCTGGCAGCACCAGCAGGCAAAAGAAAAATTCACTACAACTCAGACATCAATTAAGAAATCCTTTCAGTGCAAAATGGCTGGAACTGAGCAGAAGATGGTGAATGATAATGAAGTTCTGCAAGTGCACAAGGCAGAAAAATATAGAAAGGGGAAGGAGCAAAGTGCTTGGCTCAGGTCAAAGCAGGGACCATAGTGCTGGCTGAGAGGCAATCAGGAGCTGAAGAACAAACAATTTAAGGAAAGCTCAAAGGATTAGCAGTTCAAATAATCACTGAGGGACAAAAGGTAAAGAGCAGAAAAGGAGTCTAATGAAAGAGGGGAAAAAAAGCAAGTGTTGCTTCAAAACACTTTAGAGGTTTTGTTCAGATGTCTGGCTGCTCACGTCTCACACCAGGAGCTTTGATAACCCAGAGCTGGAAACTCAAATGGCAAGACTTCATCCAAGGTGGACAACAATAGGGCAAGTCAATACAGTTTTCTTATCCAAAGCTCCTTCAGCTTCTCACTCTTGACAGATCAGGCACTGCTCAACCCCAGAACTGTTTGTTCAGTTAGCAGCCCACCAGAAACCCAGTAAATCACTTGCCCAGTTTGTCCTTCAGGCCATGGAAAATTGTGCACAAGCAGCTCCATAGGTCTATCACCCACAGAATAAAGAATCAACATCTTTCCCCCTGATTTACAGCCTGGCTCCTGCCAGTTTCACTCACCAGACCCCAGGTCTTGTCTTTGGGTAGGGTGGGAGCAGCCAATTCCCACCAACCCCTCAGTCCCTCTCCTGAGTTTAGCATTGCTGTAAGAAGTCAGATTTCTTTAGAACAAGAGTTGGAGAAATAACAGAACTGCAGGTAGGGCATGAGTTCTCCCCAGGAGCACCAGAAGGGACAAGAGGGAGGGACATGGGAAGTTCTTCACTGGAAAGTTTATCAAGCACTGGCCCACACTGCCCAGGGTGGAGTCCCCATCCATGGAGGGATTTCAAAGCCCTGTAGATGTGGTGGTGAGGGACATAAGTTAGTGGTGGCCTTGGCAGTGATGGGTTAATGGTTGGACTTGATAATCTTAAATGTCTTTGCCAACCAAAATGATTCTATGATTCAAGCAGGAAGAAACTCATCATGGACTTGAACAGAAAGCATTAAGGTATGAGGAAAAAAAAAGTCTCAGTCAGAAGATAGCAAAGGGAGCCATTTGATGAGGAACTTCCCAAAATGGGTCTGACTAAGCAGCCAAGGACACACACATCTCTCCCCACTCAAAGAAATCAGGCACAGTCCCAAGAGATTTAATTATCCATCCCAGTATCATGACGACAATATTGAAAAACAGAGGAGGAGGAGGTGACATCTGCATCCTCATGTCTCTAGGATTGGTAAATATCCTTAACAGAACAGAAAGAGGTTATTAATTTATTTTAGTTAGCACATTATCTGTGTTAATTGCACACCAAAATATAAATGAAATTCCTATTCTTTCCAGCCACAAGAATCAAGGAAGAATCTAAGTTTGGCTGCTGTAATAAACAAAATCAAAGTATTTTTTATAATTAATTCCTGTTCTAGAAACTGCTGCATCAGGTAATTTCAGCAGAGTAACACCTGGAGCCTTCCCTGACACCACCACCACACACATATGGCTCCACAATAGGACCTCCAGGTCACTGTGTTTTCTGCAGATTCAGGAAGACCAGTTTCATTTGATGCAAGAACTAACAAAAAAGCTTGTTGGCATCTCCCCACAGCCCTGCCACACAACACAAGGCTTAGTTTGTTGTCTCAAAATACTAGAAAGAGGCTGAGAAGACAATAAAGCAGTGGATATACCATAAATTGAAATAATTAATAGAAATTCTCAAGCTGAAGTATTTTGCAGAAGGATGATGTTTATAAGACAGGACATTGAACCTGCCTGTACCTCTAACCATCAACAGCACAATTTCACCATCGTGTGAAAAATCATAGCAAGAGTCCCTCCCATAAACCAACAAATCCAATCCCTCAGTCACACCAGGAAAAGTATTCACTGCTCATGAGAGGTAACATTTCATTACTAGTGGATTTCAATTTCAAAGTAGCAAAGTTCTTTTCAAGAGGCCCTGTGAGCAACACCCCCAGCTGTGATCAGAAAAACTGCATTGGAATTCAAAATTAGAATATCAAAGAAGGGTGGGAAAAGGCAATTCCATTTTAATACAGACATGAGGATGTTCAGTTAATCAGATTCACTGTTTACAGACATCAACTGCTAGGCAAAAATCAAGTCAGCCACAATGACATTTTACCCAGTATTCAACAATCAGTTTCAGATGCAAAAGAAACCAAGTTGCAGTCAGAGCACAAATTTCTACTGCTTTACCCCAGACCTAGGAAACCAACACTGGTGTCTGCAGGTCCTACCAGGCACAGCAGCACAAATGCCCCTTTCCAGGTAAGTGGAAAACATGAGTTATGCACCTTGACTGTACCTCCCAGGCTCTAGGCTGGCAAGAGCTTATGGCAAGAGACAAGCAGGAGAAGACAACGACAAAAATGGACCATCACTTTTCAATGGTATAAAAATCAGATGTAAACTCTAGTAGCAAACACAGAACAAAGAATCTCTTTCACCCAGTCACAAAATCACTTTGATAGAGAAAAAATAAATTTACTGCCTTGGGATTGGAAAAGCAGAAATTTGTTTCAGACTGTGAACCACTCTCCTCATCCCAAAAGGCCTCCAGGATGTGTGCACAAACAAGTCCTACCTGCTTCATGGCTGCCTCTCCAATCTTGTCCGAGTGCTTACGGATACTCTCCAGGAAATCCTTGAGATCTGACATGGAAACTTCTTTGATCTCTTCCCTTAGCTTTGGAATGTTATCCACCATGATCTTGCAGAAGCGGTAGTGGCTCACTTGGGGCAGGTACGTGTGCTCAAGGTGCTCCAGGGTCTTCAGTGCAGGGTAGTGCCTGGGGAGAGCAAGCAGGGCAGATGCAGAAAGAACAACAGCCATTTCCACCCCACATACCCTCCAAAACATGCATGAACTAAATTAAGTCAACATATTTAAAAATCTCAGCTCTATTCAAACGAACCTAGACTGTAACATCCAGGTAACCATGCAAGCATTACAGAATCCCAGACTGGTTTGGGTTGGAAGGGACCTTCAAGATCATCCAGTTCCAGCCCCCCCGGCATGTGCAGGGACACCTCCCACCAGCCCAGGTTGCCCCATCCAACCTGCCCTTCAACACTGCCAGGGATGGGGCAGCCACAGCTTCTCTGGGCAACCTGGGCCAGGGTCTCACCACCCTCACAGGAAAATTTATTCCTAATACCTAAATCTCCCCTCTTCCAGCTGGAAACCCTTCCTCCTCATCCCACCCCTCCCTGCCCTTGTCCCAAGTCCCTCCCCAGCTTTCCTGGAGCCCCTTCAGGCACTGGAAGGTGCTCTAAGGTCTCCCTGGAGCCTTCTCTTCTCCAGGCTGAACACCCCAACTCTCCCAGCCTGTCTTCAGGGCAGAGCTGCTCCAGACCTCTGAGCATCTTCATGGCTCTCAGATCCCACCTTCCTCCCAGCTGTTCAAAAGCTGCCAAGCACCATGAAAAACACTTCCCAAAGTAGTTTCTATTTAGATGTGAAAACAATCAAACAAACAACAATCAAACTAACCCCAGGTTAGGGGTCCAAGAGATACACTTTCTACAAAGCCCCAGCCTTTCCAGCCAACTACTGTTGTACCACCAGGTCATGTGACCTTTGCAATGTTGAAAATAATTTATTTCCCTGCTCTAAAAGGAATATGTCCTATAAATTTCAGAATGCCAGAATCCAAGTGTTTCTTCCCCTGTGCACAATGTGAGCCTTTATGTTTTGGTCATGCCCAATGGCCTTAGGGAAGGTACCATAAATTTCATCCTGCCTTTCTGCATAAAAGCAAATTTCATGGTCTGACAGAACATGCTAAATGGGAAAAAAAACCTATTCTAAGCAAATAATTTTTCTCAGACACCCTCCCTCTTTTCCCTTTGGGATGTGGGAATCCATAGGATTTGCCTGTTCACTGGAATACAGAGGCCCTCCTGAGTGGCAACGTAAAATGAGAGAACATCCTTCTCCTCATCTGAACACACATCTGGTCAGAGGTTAAAAAAAAAAATAATAATCAGGGAACCACCCAGGAAGCCCTAAAGAGGGTCTATAAAATCAAATTTCAGACCAACACCAGGTCACAGACACCTCCAGGGTAAATCAAGGCAACTTCAGCTGACTTGGTTAATCCTGGTCACAAGCACCTGTCACTTGCACCTTGAATTTTGGGGGGGAAAGTGTTTAGTCATAAGAAACATATTAACACCACTGAAAAAAACCTGACACTCATATCCCCATTCAAAATAATTCTTGACTGAACTCCAGGCAGTTCCACAGGGGAGTTATTCTAACCAGAAGTGGCCTGTCCTGTTCCTAACACCAGAAGTCAGAGGGATTAACCCTGTGGCCCAGGCAGTGTTTACACTCCAGTGAGGTATGTAACAGGATTGGCAATAAATGCAAACGTCTCTGGAGAGAAACTCAGGCATGCACAGCAAGCCAGAAATGAAAGCAGAGGAATAAACATACATTAGGGGGGTTTGTTATATTTTAGGACATAGTTTGTTGAACTAGAAGCAGCAAAAAGGTGGCATGGGGGGCAGTGCAGGGTCACTGATGGGGTCCCCAGATGCCTCCTGAAAACCTGGGGGCAGGGGACAGCTCAGCACTGTTCCTGTGGGAGATGTGTAGAGACCAGAGGTTTTGACAAAAGAGGCAGAGCTGGCCTTGCTGTTTTTCTAGAAACACCCAGGCCCTGCCCAGGTAGGAACAGCTCTATGGAGGCTTCTCAGCTACAAGCTAGATGATACAATCTCATGTCATGGGTATGACAAGTGACCCAGGGGTAAAAAAAGATGGATCCCTCTGGAACCCTGCAGAACCTGGAGGGATCTCCAAAGGCAGGGAGGTGTTTCTCATCACATTTCAGTAAGCAGCCACACACGGCCATTGGAGAAAAGCTCTTTCTGTTCTTAAATACTGGACAAGAGCTGATGAAATATTTTTCTCCATCTTTTCTCTCTGTTGGTTGCAGCCACTTCTTCAGGTTTGGATCATGGGTTCCCCATCTCCAGTTAAGGGCCACAAATTCCACATTTGGCCAACACCTGCATTTGGTTTATAAACACCATGCAAAAAAACTGCACATACCTTATTTCATCTAACTTCAGAGAGTTTATTCACCCCAAATGCAAAACCTGTTACTCTGCTGAGACTGTGTACTCAAAGCCCAAGACTCACACCAGCAACCAACCCCCTGGCTGGTTATCATTAAATGACATTTAAGTGCAATGGGGTGCAGACACAAAACTATTTAATATGCTGTGCTGCGTTTGGTGGATGAAGCCATCAAATCCAGACAAAGGAAAGAGGGGGGGGGGGAAAGAAGCCAAAGGTTCAGATTTTTCTTAAATGTGGCTTTCAACTTTAATTTTTTCAAAGTGAACCAATTCAAAGGGGGGGAAGGGGAATGCAGCCCTTAGAAGCAGGCTCTGGAAACACCATCCAGAGCAAGGGAATGAAGCAGCATGTGGATTCCCTTCAAAAGTTCTCAGGGCTGTGATCAGCTCCAGCTCCCCACCCCACATCTGTCAATGGATAAGCCCCTCACTGCTCCTATAAACAGACTAAAACCAGTTGGACAAGCTACACGCTGCCCTATTCTGTGCAGAGCCATCCTGAGAAAGAAAGCAAGGTTTTGAACAACTAAATAAGCTCCCCAGAGCTCCTCCAGTCAGCCCAAATCTCAGGAGCAATGTGCAGCTCTTTACCCAAGGCCCCTGGGTCCAAGGACCACAGAGCCCAGCAGATGTGGGAGGGGAAGCACAAAAATAACGCCCATCCAATTAGTTATCGCCTTGTTGGGAACATCTGGTTTCTTCTGTATTGTTTCTGTGATGGATGGCAGGCACAAACCAGGCATGGGATCTGAATTGCTCTCCCTGCATGGCATTCAGCTGGAGCCTGCTGCCTCTGCAGCTGACCTCCTCCCAGCAGCTGCTCTTTGCCCAATTTGCCTCCCCCCAGGGCTACAATGGGTCTCCAGAGTCCCACGCTGCTTAAACAAACAGTCCCCCAGGATCCCAGCCATGCAAATATCCCAGACCAGGGTTTAATCCTTCAGCATCACAACAGATGCAAGGTGGGAAAAATCCTAGATTTACAGCTCCTGACTTCTGGGCCACAAAGTCCTGGTAGTTCAGCTCACTCTCCCAAACAATTGTTTCTACCACAAAATAAGTCTCATGCCTTCTCAACAGCTTCTACCATCCCATGTAATGTTTCTCAAGTGTTAGGCTTCCATTTGTGTTCATTAGATTCTCTCAGGTTTTCTATTTTGACATTCCCAGAATGAAATATAGTTAATAAAGCTTAAGTGCTGTGAGAGACACTGATTCCATGTCAGTGACCTTCCCTGGAAAAAACGGAACATCCACCTTCATTAAAAAGCCTAACACAGAACAAAATCAGAGCCCACTGCAATCCCAGTTCTAGCCTGTACTGCAGGAGGCTGAGCAGGACCAGGAAGACACCAGCTAGAAATCCCATTAACTTGGAAAGGCTGATCTTGAATTCCTAAGTTTTGAGAACATCTTTAACTCATCTGGCACCAAACGGGTGCATTTCAACTCTTCCAACACCATCACCAGTCTATGCAAAATTTACCTTTTAGATTTCATTTGCTCTCGTAGTTTGCTGTACATCTCCAGGACTGGAAAGAGAAGGAAAACATACAAGCATTGAGACACAAACACGAAGCAAAGAGATGTGAATTCAAATAAACAGCTGAGCAAATGATGAGCAATTCTGGATTCCTCACCAGGAAGACACAGCGTCAGCTTATCAACCGTCGCCGAAATGTTCCTCTGCTGCAGCCGGCACTGCTTCAGCTCTTCCATGGCTAGGAGCAGCTTTGGAAAGGAAAAGAGAAAAGTTTCACAAAGAACAGCAAACAGATGGAACAGAGAGGATTTCAAGTGCTGTGCACTTGTCAGGACCATCCAACCAGCAGGTTGATAGCCAAGGCTGCTCTGCTAAGCACAGAGCTCCCCGGGCTCTGCGGCGCCTTGCAGAAAGGACAGGCAGCCTCGGGTGGTTTCCTCCAGCAGCAGAAGCATTTCCTAGCCTAAGTTCAAGGAAGCAAGCAACAAAACCAAAGCTATCCAAATACTAGCCTTGTAGCACGTCCTGTGAATTCCAGAAGTCATTCCCCCTTCCCCACTTTACTCATCTCTCCCCTGCTCCCTCTCCAAGCTTCTCTTTTCTAGTTCTTCTCAAAGACAGGATGTGGCCACTCGCTCCCAGGGGATTCTCACCATCACAGACTAACACAGGGTTTTAAATGCTCAGTTTCCAACAGAAAAACCTGAGCATCTGGGCACAGGCAAAACCAGGATTGGCCTTTGCATGCAAAAGAGAACTCTTTAGTTTATTTTCTTTGAAAGTCACGGATTTGTCCTCCAGAGTACGAACATATTTCCACACTGACTTTGCAATGTCCTTCTGAAAGCCCATCTTCTACTTCTGAAAGTGAATTCTCCATTCAAGATAACACAGAGGTACATTTATTTAATTCAGGAGAGAAGCTGTATCATCTCTTCCCAAAAGGCCATTTTTATCTTTAATCTTCATTAGAATAATTGCTCTGACACAGTCCAACAGGGGAATTTGTTTGTTTTCCAAAGGCAATGCAGCTGACTGGAACAGCCCTGCCTGCAGGTGCTCTGAGCAGCACCAAGGCTGGGGGGCTGGGAGGGAGGTTTGGAAGCAAAATAGAAAAGCTGCAAAAAGTAGATTTATAGGGAATATGATACAGGGAAGAGAATCAATGCACACGTTCATACTAATGCTCTTCCTGGTCTCAGTTCATGCTGAGCAGTTATTGATGCTCTGTGCAATTTCTCACTAGCAAACACAGCCACATAATGGATGACTGAAAAGAAACAGGGTGAACAAATATATCACTTACTTCTTTTCCTTCATTCTGCAGCTTCCGGTTTGTGTCCGTCACTTGATTCTACAGGGATATCGGGGGGAAGAAAGACAAAGCACATGTAAATCAGGACAATGTTCCTCACCAAAAAAACCCACAAAATGGTACATAAACCCCAATACTTTTCACACCACCTTCCCTTGCAAGGAATAAATACGTTCATTAGCTGATTTAATATCTATCTCCATTTGGGCACACAGGATGCAACAGCCACACAGCAAACACCAAGGGTTTTCTTCCCTGCCAGAAGAGGGAAGTACAACGCAACAGGAGTTGATTCTGTTGCATGGCAGCCCCAAAACCTGCAGCCTTCATCGATCAAATTTTGTAGCAGATGCTCACGTGGGTTCTCATTCTAAAAGTTATTTTATGGGAGCAGTAGAGGTAGGACATAAACCTCATGGAATTACATTTCCCCTGCCCAACAGCAAACAGATTACAATTAGGTTTAATTTCTAATATCACAGCAGGAAAAGATCTCTTCAATGTGGGCTTTTATCTATACACTACAAGTATTTTCTTTTAGACCATCCACTGGCCACTGAATCCCTTCTCCTAGCTTGTGTAAAAACTATTTTTATATAGCTGGTATGAAAAAGTTACGTATTTTCTTTACTAAACCATCTTTCTGTATTATCATGTTGAGCTGGGGCCCAGAGTTAAAAAATTTCCTACTCTCCAAACTTGTAGGTTCTCTGGACTAGCAAGACCCCAGCAGCTCAACCCTTTGTGGCTCTAACCATCAGCTTGACTTAGTCCAGACACATGAGGACAAAACTAATTTTAGACCCCCTGGGATAGCTTCCACATTATTTAGACAACAAGCAGAAATATTACTTTGGGAATTCTCCTGAATCCTCATTCAAGTTCAGACAGGAAAAAGTGTGTAAACAGACAAACCATCTTCTACAGACCAGCTGGGAGAGTCAAAACAATTGCATAAATATTCAAGTAAATATGCCCAGCTTCAGGTCTTCAGCAAAAGCTGCCAGCTATAGAGGTAAATACCAGCAGAGAAGGACTGCTCAGAGTTCAGGTGCCTCACATCAGTCAGAGGCTGACAGGCCATAAACCTGCTTTATTTTTTTTCCATACAACACTTTCCACAACTACTGAAGTTGAAAAATACCCATTTCCAGGCTTGTCTCCGTAAGATGTCTCCGGAACCTCCAGGTTTACTTAGGCTCTGTGTTCAGGGGAAGCTGCTGCTGGATTTTATAAGTAATCAATAAATTTTATGGACTAGTTCCTGTGTGTTTTCAGGAGTTCTACTCATTCTATAGGCAAAAATCAGTAACAGAGCTTGGACAACAGCATGGGCTGTGATACAGAGCTCTCAAATATATTCAGGAGCTTAAGATCACACAAACCAACTGAATGTTTTTGTTTCCTGATGCTACTCAAGAGTTGTGGATTCAAGCTGAATTTTTAATGAATTTATCACTAGAGAAGGAACATCATTTGATGCTCTCCAACTATCCAAAAGAAGCTGGGCAGTGCATGGAGTAGCAACAACAGCAAAGCAGAACAAGCTTCAAGGTGACTTCAGAAGGTAACGGCCATGTCTTTCCTTTTTGAGCACAACACAAGGCAAGCAGTTCCAACTGGAAAGGAGTTCTGTATTAACATATATAGAATTGATTCAAGATCTAATTTGTTTCCTGCTGGTGACTGAAAGATACTGGGCAATAATGATTGCCCAGACTGGTCTGAATTTCAACAGGATGTCCCACACTGAGAGGCTGGTGTTCCTTCAACAAGCAGAACCATCCAGCCTCACAAGCGTCTTTTTAACTGGCCATGCTGGTTTTTAAGCTTTACCATGATGTAAGCAGAGGACTCATCCCACCATCCCCCTGCACACAATTTCCCTGCAGCATCTGCATCATATTCCTCCCCCTTCTGCAGTAGCTTCAGCTCTCCTGGCTGCCTGCCCTGTGCAAAAACTGCTCATTTCCTTTATGATGTATCGAGCTTTTACAAGCAGGAGCACAGCATCTCTTCCAAAGATTATTTTATTTGCTTATATCCTGAAAATCCCACCACGAAAAAGGAATCCATGTAGGCTAATTTAAAACTGCTCCTAAAATAATGCCAAGGCTGTATTAGTCTTCTATTAAAATTACATATCAATCCCAGCTAAAGCAAAAAAGTAGGAATATATTCTGCCCTTGCAGACTAGTTTTCAGGGGGTAGGGGGGATTGTTTTGCTTTGTTCTTAAGATCTGCATCCAGCCACTGAAAAAAAAACCCAACAGATTATTTATACAGACTTTGTGTAGACACACTGAAGCTTTTCAGATGAGATTTTTTAATCCAAGACAGATGCCCAGCACAGGGGGACAGACAACAGGTGGACACGTGTGAAGAACAAGCCGATGGGATCACATGAAGGGCTCCCGGGATGCGCCAGTCAGCCCCTCAGGGAACACGTGGTGGCTCAGGGCTTTTGTCCTGGGGGTTTCAAACATTACTCTGCTATCGTTTGGAGCTCCTCTGCTGACCAAGAAGACAAAGTTCCCAATTCAGTGCTTGCCTTGCCCAAAAGCTGGATAGAAAGTTCAGGTCATCAGGTTTGAAGTTGAGTTGGCGCTGCCGGAAACACAGCGTTACAGCACAGAGGGAAAGGGGCAGCCATGACACACGTGCACAGACAGGTGGGGTGGAGAATGGATCAAGAATAGCCCTCAGGGGAAGGACTTGGGGGTGTTCATTGACAAGAAACTCAACATGAGTTGGCACCATGCACTGGAGCCCAGAAACCAACTGTGTCCTGGGCTGCCTCAAAAGAAGTATGGCCAGCAGGGTCAGGGGAGGAGGGGATTCTCACGTTCTACTTTGGTGAGACCCCACCTTCAGTGCTGGGTCCAGTTCTGGAGCCCCCAATGTAAGAAGGACACAGAGGTCCTGGAGCAAGTCCAGAGAAGGGCCACAAAGATAATCAGAGGGCTGAATGGCCTCTCCTGTGAAGACAGACTGAGAGAGTTGGTATCGTTCAGCCCAGAGAAGGCTCCAGAGAGACCTCAGAGCACCTTCCAGTGCCTGAAGGGGCTCCAGGAAAGAGACTTTTAACAAGGGCATGTAGCAAGAAGATAAGGAATAATGGATTCAAACTGGAAGCAGGTAGATTTAGGTGAGACATTAGGAAGAAATCCTTGGCTGTAAGGGTGGTGAGACACTGGCCCAGGTTGCCCAGGGAAGCTGTGGCTGCCCCATCCCTGGTAGTGTTGAAGGGCAGGTTGGATGGGGCTTGGAGCAACCTGGGCTGGTGGGCGGCATCCCTGCCCATGCAGGGGGGTTGGAACTAGATCATCTTTAAGGTCCTTTCCAACCCAAACCAGTCTGGGATTCTACAAATGGGAGAAGATGATGCACCCAGCTCACATTTAGCACATCCACTTTTAATACAACGAACACTGATATTCCTGCAAGTGGGGAGTTACACAAAACACCCCAAAGCACATGAGTGAAGATACATCCTAAAGATGCAACATGGAGGGCATTTATTTTACTGCTGGTCGCACGTATGTTCAAAGACCAGCGCTACTGAGAAAAAGACCAAGATCAAATAAAGAATGAATAGGCTGGAACTAAACACACTCTTGCCACTGGACCCATGAGTGATTCCCTGGGGAAACCCTTACAAAGAGGGCTCAGTATTTCTCAAATAAGTTTCTGTGTGTATTTTTCCCATGCGCCGTTTTATAGATCCCATAGTAACGGAAATCAAGAGAGATCCTGAGGGTACAGAGATGGACTTCACAGTGCACCACCAACAAAGTGGCTGTTTGCAGAATGGGAAACAGCAACGAGCCTTTGCAAACAAACAATGCGGGGTTCTTGGCCAGAAACAATAGCTTTTAAAAAAATAAAAATACTTCTTTCATGGTATTTCCAATGGCCTCATCCTGCAATCAACCGCTGGATGACTCCTTGCCATGGGAAATGTGTCCAATTCTGGAGCCCCCAATGCAAGGACAGAGAGCTCAGGGAGAAAGTCCAGAGGAGGCCACCAAGATGATCCAAGGGCTGGAGCAGCTCTCCTACCAAGACAGGCTGAGAGAGTTCAGGTGTTCAGCCTGGAGAAGAGAAGGCTCCAGGGAGACCTCATAGTGACCCTCCAGCACCTGAAGGAGCTACAGGAAAGCTGGAGAGAGACTTTTTTCTAGGCCAGGGAATGAAAGCACATGGGGGTAATGGATCAAAATTGGAAGAAGGGAGATTTAGGTGAGACATTGGGAAGAAATTCTTCGCTGTGAAGGTGGTGAGACCCTGGCCCAGGTTGCCCAGAGAAGCTGTGGCTGCCCCATCCCTGGAAGTGTTCAAGGGTGGGGTGGATGGGGCTTAGAGCAACATGGTCTGGTGGGAGGTGTCCCTGCCCATGCAGGGAGGTTGGAACTAAATTATCTTGAAGGTCCTTTCCAATCCAAACCATCCTATGAAAGCCCCTTCCTAGCTGTAACTGTTTTACTTTCTCCATTCCCAGCTCTGACCATTTTACTATCTGGTTAACCCAATCAAACTTGGAGATGCTACTGAAAAGGAATCAAGTTCTACACTTGTTTACAGTCTTTCAGTATGTACCTAGTAGTTACTTTTCACTCATGTTCCTGCCCATGACTGAACACCTTTCAGTGCTCTCATGTCCACTTGCTTTTTAAATATTAACAATTCACCTGCCAATGTTGGGCAGACACCCCGTGACTGCAGTCACATCTGCACCAGCCCTCTCTGCCCATTTGTCTCAGACACAACACTACCTGTAATGAAAATTCCATGTCAGATGGGGCACTAGAGCAATGCTGCTAGAGCAGATGTTCTTCTGACTGTAGAGTTAATTTTTGCTTAAGAAATTGGTGAGGTACACTAGGAAAAGCACTTTCCCTAACACAGAACAGACTTAGCTTTAAGTTTTCTTGTGCTTTTAATGTACCACATTGTTCCACTTCACCCAAATAACTGTTCAGCTTCCAACAACTGACTGACCTACTGCTACAGGATGAAGGAAGAGAAATTTAATTGATTTTTATATTTTTCAGATAGAGGAGAAATGATCTAAACAAAAGGAGAAAAGGAGTCATTCCTGTGGTTTCAGAGAGACCAAGAGTGGCTGAGGTTGGAAGGTCCAGCCTGAGGTCACAGAATCATAGAATGTCTTACGTTGGAAGATATCTCTAAAGGTCATCTAAGTCAAGCCCCCCTACAATAAGCAGCAACATCTCACACTACAACAGGTTGCTCAGAGCCCCATCAAGTCTGACCTTGAATGTCTCCAGGAATGGGGCCCCCACCACCCCTCTAGGCAATGTGTTCAGTGATCCACCACCCTCATATACGTCATTTGGTCCTACCTCCCTGCTCAAGCAGGGCCACCTAAAACTGGATGCCCAAGTCCATGTCTAGGTGGCTTTCTCTTACCTTCAATTTTTGAGCTTCTCCTCTAACTTTCAGCAGCTCCGTGATGGAGTCCACAAAGCCCTGGTAATGGAAGTTGCACATTTTCTCAATCTCACGATCATGGTTTCTGATTCGTGCTTCCAGTTTCTCCATGAAACGACCATGTTCTTCTCCATCATAGACAGACCTAAAAAGATTATGACAAAATGAGTCAAGATTCTAGTATCTGTTACTGTCATTGCTCACAAGAAATAGCCAACACACACGGTTTAAAAAAACTTATGTGATAAAGTGAGGGGTTTGGTTTTTATTTGCATACACCAGGCACCTGACTCAGGTTTGAAAACCATTCTATTCCAGCTTGTCTTTTTCTTTTTCCACCTGTCAAACATCAGCTTGATCTGAATAGATGATCTACTGTATAGAATCACAGAATGGTGGGAGTTGGGACTCCATCTAATACAACCCCCTGCCAGAGCAGGATCTCCTAGGGCAGGTTACACAGAAACATGTCCAGATGGATCTTCAAAATCCCCAGAGAAGGAGACTCCACAACCTCTCTGGGCAGCCTGACCCAGGCCTCCAACACCCTCACAGTAAAGAAGTTCTTCCTCACACTGAGGTGGAACTTCCTGTGTTCCAGTTTGCATCCATTGCCCCTTGTCCTATCACAGGACATGACTGAAAGGAGACTGGCTCCTCCTTCTTCACACCTACCCTTCATTTATAGACATTAATAAGATCCCTTCCCAGTCTTCTCCTTTCTAGACTAAACAGCCCCAGGTCTCTCAGCCTTCCCTCATAAGGCAGGTGTTCCAGTCCCTTCATCATCCTCATAGCCTCCTTTGGACTCTCTCAAGTAAATCCTTGTCCCTCTTGAACTGGAGACACCAGAACTGGACCCAATACTCCAGGTGGGGGTCTCACTAGGGCATAATGGAAGGGGAAGAAAACCTCCCTTGACCTGCTAGAGACACTTCTCTTAATGCACCCTAGGATGGCATTGGCCTTCTTGGCCACAAAGGCATATTGTTGTCCCATGCAGAACTTGTCCACCAGGACTCCAAGGTCCTTCTCCATAGAGCTGCTTTCTAGCAGGTCAGCTCCTAACCTGCACTGGTGCATTGTGTTATGCTGTAGTGCTGAGCACTCCTCTTGGACAATTTTCTGGATGTTTTTTGGGAATCACAGAATCACAAAACCACCCCTACAGCTGCCAAAATCCATTGCCCTTCCCAAACCCAGTTTTGCCAGCACAATTAAGACATCTCCTGATGAATAAAGAAGGCCAACACAGCTGAAGACTATCCAAAGTGACAGGGAAACCCCAAGCCAAGACCCTGAGCATGTAAGCTGGAGGTAATGAGTAATCTTTGCTACAAACAAACAAAACCACTAGTGTCACATTTAAGGTGGAAGCTAAAAAAATACAATCTATCCTTCATGTTTTCTTAAATTCCACAAAACTGGGAAGAGAAGCTTGATTTGCCACGATAAAACACTTCTTATCCTGTTGGATCCCAACCCAAGCTGACTGGTGAGGGTGATTATTTCCAACCAATTTGTGAAGCAGCCTAAAAGGAGACTTTTTCATCCCCAGAAAGAGCTGCTGTGAGGAGGCAATAGGTCATGAGTGCAAAATAAGTGTTACTCCAGAAAGCAGAGGGACTGTGTCACACCCCAAAGTGGCATGGTATTTTCAGGAGCTTGTTTTCTTGGGGGGGGTTTTAAGTAAATATATATTATTTTCTACAGGGTGTGGAAATGCCACCCTTAGACTTGTGTTTGTGAAGTTTTAGCATTTTGAGAAGCAGTGTAACTCCTAAACCTGAATTCACTCCCAGTCAGAAAAAAATTAAGTACACAGTGGGCTTTATGGAGTCCAAGCTTGTACTTTTTCTGAGAGTAAGGCTACATCAACTGTACACTGGACTCCATGCAGCAGTTAGAGAGAAAAGATGGGAATGGCAGAGCTGTGACAAGCTAGAAGGATAAAAAAATATTCCTGCTGGCAGTAGTGACAAGCAACACTTCAGCAAGAACCAAAACTAGATGAAACCAATTGGACACCTGAAATCTTTCTGCACTCACAAGTCACTTGGGTGAATCCCACCTCTGCAAACCCACAAAGCTCTCAAAATAATACAAAAACCTAAGACAGGACTAAAAGCTGGAGGAAATCTATGTAATTGTCCTTCTCTAAAACCTGCCCTAACAATTTAAATTACAGTCTCAGTAAACATTCTCAATGGCAAAACAAAAATGCCAGATCTTTATAAGCTTGTTTAAAACTCAACATAAAGTAACAAAGTCACCACATGAAGCCTTTAAAGGCTTCAAATTGCTGTCTTTATTCCAAGGTAGAAGCTCCTTGATGCTAAAAAGATATAACTTCCTCAAATTATATTAATTCCACCACCAACATGATGGTGGATTTTTTTCCTTGAAGCTTAGCAGAGTTTTGCTGGTGAAATATGAAAGCTGGAGTCTGAGTGCCATCTAGTGCTGCCCAGCCTCCTTGCAGGGTCTGATGAAACAACAAGACACCTCTGCTCCAGTGAACTCTTAACTCAGAGATGGTAACACATGGACAATAAATAAAGCCAGACAAGTTGGGTTGTCATTGAAGTATGAATTTTAAAAGCCCAACAGTAACTGCAGTAACATGAGGACAGGCTGGGGAGGGTCCAGAGAAGGGCCACAACAAAGAGGACTGGAGGACCTGTTACATGAAGAGAGGCTGAGAAAACTGGGTTTGTTCAGCCTGGAGAAGAGAAGGGGAGACCTTATTACCATGTTCCAGTACTTAAAGGGTGGCTCCTTTACAAGGAGTCCCAAGGAAAAGACATGGGGTCATGGGCACAAGTTGCTTCTGGAGAGATTCTCATTGGACACAAGAGGCAAATTTTCCACCATGAGGACAGTCACACATTGGAATAGTCTCCCTAGGGAAGTGGTAGATCCCCTACATTGGACAGTGTTAAGTCTCAGCTTAACAGGGTGCTGAGCCACCTCATATAAACTAGAGTAGTACCTAGAAAGGCTGGATCAGATGATCCTTGAAGTCCCTTCCATCCTGGCACCCTATGGTTCTATGAACATCAGGTGCCAAATAAATGTTTTTGCATTCAAATAATAACACCATCAGCAATTAGAGGTGTCTATCAATGCGGGGGAGGGAGGAGGGGAAAAAACATCTCAAATGTACTTACAAACTCTAGGCAGAGTTTCCTTCAGAGATGGCTAATCTAAGACAAAGGTCCAATGACTAAAATTCTGGTTTGGGGTGTTTTTTTTTAACCAAACTCAAGCATTAAAAAAAAAAAAGAACAAAAAAGGCTGGTGCATCTTAAGGGTTGGCTCTAAACTTACACTTAAACTCCATATCTTTCCTTTGGAGCTCTCCTATTCATCCATACCCTCCCCTTCCAAATCAGAACCAGCATCCTTCATGCCACTCTCCCTCTAAACACAAGCAGTTGGCAGCAGCCAAGTCAATCCCAGACCAAACCTCAAGTCTCTCCAAAGCTGCAGGATGGCAAGTCCCAAGTTACAGGATGTCAAGTTCTTGCTCTGTATTCAGCACCATCATGTAAGGGGAGAACAGAGACTCTGCAGCGAGTCTTGGCTGAAAATGAACAGTGTAGGGACTCGGTTTGATTGCAAGAAGGAAAAAATCTGTCCTCTACAATCATGTCAAAACACACCTCAAGTCCCAAACTCACAATCACCTTGGGTTCCCTGGCTCTCGTAGAGATGCACTCTCCTCAGCTGTTTCTGCCACCGCCTGAGCTACAGCATCACTCTTGGAAAACCACCCTGTGATCCCACATCCTTCATGTTTCTGTACTCTTATCTACCCAACAATTGCCAGCTTGCTCAACACCAAATCTGATTCCCACCTGATCCACTTAACTGAGCACCTTCATTACCTGTTTCTTCCTTTTCGGGATTACCACATCTGGGCTCTTCTATTCCTCACTTCTTTCCTACCACACCTTTGGGACAACCACTGCCTTGCTCTGGATCTGCAGGTCTCTCCAGCTGCTCCCTCTACCTCATTTCTTCTGCACATACCCTGTGCTCCTTGGACCATCTCTCCTAGTTCAAACCCTCATTACAGCCCAACCTGGGTCTCCAGTCAACTGTCCCGAAATTACCAGTAAATTCAAAAGACATTAGAAGGTGATGCAGAAGAAAGTTTCTAGGAAGAAAAAAAACACAACCATAAATACATATTATACCCACTAATAAATCACAACAGCACACAGTGCAAAAATAAAGGAAAATAAACATAAAAATTAGAATTGGTTTGGGCTATTCCTTCTCCTAGTTGTAAGCAACAAAGCATTGTGACAGTGCTATAGAAAATGATCCTTGAGGCTGCTTTTTTTTTTCTTTGCTATAAAAAATTGCTGCTCAGATAGTTTTAGTAATAAACCTCCTCCACAAAAAAGCCTTTTGATTAAAAAAGTCTGAGAAAGAGTAGTCTGTCCCGCATGTACTTATCTTATAACTCCAGAGCAGGCTGTAATTCTCTGATTGAAGACTATGCTCTGTGACAGGTCTGTCTGGTTTATATTTTTAAAGCACACTCACTAAACAAAACCATTTAAGACGACTTTAAAAAGTTCTTGGATTGTATTGTTCAGTTGCACAATTTCTGCATTCATTAAAAATCTGCTTTATTTTTTTTCTTCCCCAAAAGGTCAACTGGAAAAATCTTTCCAGGAAAGCCATAACAGGCAAACACATCTGGAGTTCCCATCTGCAGCCTTGGGTTACTGCAGAGTTCAACCCCCAAAACGGGCGCAACCAAACTGGCCCCCATCAAATGCCCAAACCATTAACAAGGGGGATGCCCATGGGCACCAACTGGTGGCACAGCCAGATGCTCAGGTGCCTTTTCCATTTTCCAAGCAGTAGGTCCTGCAGAAGCATGATGCCTTGGAGAACCTTTCACACCTTCATCCTCCTCCTCTATCCCAGAGCCTCACTCAGCTCTGCCTCTACTCAGTCCCCACACTGAACTGAATCATCTACTGCATTCCCAATCATTCATCATCAACAAGAGTAAAAATTGGAGGAAAAACAGAGGTTCGGGGAATAAAGACCAGGAGAAAACAAAAGAGACAACCAAAATTCCTCCTTAA